CAGGGATGGGTAGACTTCCCATGGGAATATGGAAGCTCCTAGAAATTGTTTGCAATTATTTTCTGCATTGTTATTGTGTTTAGAAGAGAGAGTCTGTAGAGTTCATATAATTCTTAGAGTATTTTGGTCCAAATAAGGGTGAAGATTCCTCTATATATTCCTTGGGAATACTGGGCACATGTCATGTTGGCCCACTACTTTCGAAGTTCAGATGTCAGCATGTCTCATCTGTGGCCTAGTGACCCTTACAGTCACCTTGTTTTTTTTCTTTTACTAATGCAGAAGAGATGATGCATAGGCAGGATAAGTATTATTTCATGAATTTTTAATTTCTAATATTCACCTTGGTGAATGTATCCTGGGTTGTGATATAAAATATATTTATCACTGTGGATTGTGATTAAAAAGTTTGAAAAGCACTGTTAACATAGCGAATGAAAGTGGTCAGAATATGTATGTAAGTATATATGTAGATATATACAGGTCAGATCATGCATGCATGCATATATGTATATACAGGTCAGAACATGTGTGTATACATGTGTGTATACATCAGAACATGTATGTATGCATATGTGTGTATAGGTCGGAACATGTGTGTGTGTGTGTCAGAACACATATGCATGCATGTGTGTGTCAGAACATGTATGTATGCATATATGTGTGTATAGGTCAGACCATGTATGTGTGCATATATGTGTCAGAACATGTATGCATGCTTATATGTGTATGTATGTGTCCGGGCATGCATGTATACATATATGTATATATGTGTAGATCAGAACGTGTGTGTTGTTTTGTTGTTGTGTGCTGTGGAGTCAGTTCCGACTCATAGAGACCCTGTACAGGGTTTCTGAGGCTGTAAATCTTTACGTGAGCGGAAAGCCTCATTTTTCTCCTGCAGAACAGCTGGTAGTTTCGAACTGACAACCTTGAGGCTCGCAGCCGGTTCAGTAGACTCCAGTTCATGGCAACCCCGTATTTTACGGAGCCGAACTGCTCTGCCTCGTTTCTTGCTTTCTTTGCCATCACAGGCCTTTCCTCTGTGGAGCTGCTGGTGGGTTCGAACCACCAACCTTTAGTTTAGCAGTCAAATGCAAACCACTTGAGCCACCGAGGAACCTTTATGTAAAAAGTGTTGTTGTTGTTAAGTGCCGTTGGGTCAGTTCCTACACAGAGCAACCCTGGATAGGGATTCTGAGGAGCAGGGGTTTGGACTGCTGACCTTGTAGTTTGCAGTCCAGTGCTAATCCTACGGCACCACACCAGAAATCCTATATCAAAATGGGGGGGTGGTGGTGTGCCGTGGAGTCGGTTCTGACTCCTAATGACCCTGCGTAGGGTTTCTGAGGCTGTAAATCTTTACTGGAGCAGAAAGCCTCATCTTTCACCCGTGGAACTTCTGGTAATTAAATGTCGTTGTTGTTGTTAAGTGTTGTAGACTCAGTTCCGATCCATAACAGCCCTGTATAGGGTTTGTGAGGAGCAGCTGGTAAACTTGAACCTCGGATCTTACCTGTAAAAACAAACAAAACTACACTAGTTTGGCATTGAATTAGTTCTAACTCATGGAGACCCTAAGAGAGGTTTTCAATGACTGACTTTTCAGAAACACACCACCAGGCATTTCTTCTGAGGTTCCTCTGGGTAGACTCCTACCTCCAATCATTTAGGTGTTGTTGTTGTTAGGTGCCATTGAGTTGGTACCAGTTCATAGCGACCTTATGCAGAACGGATCGCAACACTGCCCTGGGCCAACCTCACTATTGTTGCCACGCTTGAGCCCATTGATGCTGCCACTTTGCCAATCCATCTCGCTGGGGTCTTCTTTTTCTCTGACCCTCCATCTTACCAAACATGATATACTTCTTCAGTGACTGGTCCCTCCTGACAATATGTCTGAAGTATAAGAGATGAAGTCTGGCCGTCCTTATAGTAAATAGTATAAAACCAGAGCTGGGATTCTAATTTCCAGTCTTCCGAGAATTTTCTAAGAGTAGCAGGCAGGGGGCTTGCTAAGAGTTGCTGTTGTTGTTATAAGCCGTCGAATCGGTTCTGACTCATTGTGACCCTATACAGGGTTTCTGAGGCTGTAAATCTTTATGGGAGAAGAAAGCTTCATCTTTCTTCCACAGAGCAGCTGGTAGTTTCGAACTGCTGACCTTGGAGTTTGCAGCCCGATTCGTAACCACCACGCTACCAGAGCTCCTTTCTAAGAGTAGCAGGT